GGAGGGGGGCCCCGCGAGCTAGAGCCCGGGTCCCAGCCGCGTCCTCTGAGGCGCCGACGGAAAAGGAAAGGATCTTGTGACGAATGAGCTCCACCGACCGGAGGTCGAACTTGATGGCCGCCGAAAGTCAGCTGGAAAGCTTTCGTTGTTCCTGACGCTGCGTGGGACTGCCCGCCCACCTCTTTGCTGCTTTGCCCCACGACGCCAGCACTATTGCTTTGCACTTAAAAGCTCTCCCCATTTTTCTTTTTAACTTCCTGGGGGGAAAGCAGCAATGAAATTTCGTCGAAAATCCTGGATCTCGTCAATATTTAGGTCTTGTGCTAATGGTCTGTTGTAGCTAAGTATACAAGAATGGCATTTTCCATCGTACACAAACCACACATATATGTTATGTATGCATAATACATGTTATACATGTAATATACATGTTATAGATGTTACATATATATGTAGTTTCCTCGTTTGTAAAATGGAGGTTAATATATTTTTATGATGCATCCAGTATATTTTTATGATGGTTCTAATCAACAGACCCTTTTGTTCAAATACTGTCATTAATTTTGCTTTCTTCCTGACTCATTTTGTCCCTACAACTTCAATAGCAAAACAAATAGGAAAAGGGAGATAGGGCAATCAGAGGTAGGAGAGATGTTAAAAATTTTATCAAGGCGTGGATTCCAACATCACTCTTTTAAAAAGTGCTGATGATCTTAGAGCAGTTGGGAGAATTTAATGAACCAAGGGCTTTTTAAATTATAAAAGCTCTTGAAAATGTAAATTCTTATCATACACAACCATAAACCTAAAAACTATAATTAATTGGGCTACTTAATTTAACCTGATCTCAGCCTGCTTTCAGGTCATTTGTTATAACTGATGAGGCAAGAGCCCTGGGCTAGGAGCATGAAGGTGCAGTTATTTATATCTTGAATACACACTATACATATGATCTTAGTTGCAAACTCCTTATCTATAAAATAAACCAATTAAATGGGCTCACAGTTCTGCTGTGATAATCTCTGGCACAAGGAGCTGATTTTGCTTTTTTCCTTTCACTTTCCTTTATTCTTCCCTGATTTCCTCCACCTAAAGGTAGATTCCAGTCTATTAAAATTTGATTATCCTGACCCACACTCCCCACACTAATAAAGGGGTGGAGGGAAAGAAAGAAGAGGAAGGCTGACTGTCAAACATCACAACAGCAAAAATCTCCTTTAACATCTCAGCGTTACTAAAACAAAAATCATCCAAGAAATGTCGTCCCTGAGTAGGGGCCAAATAGAAGACGCACTGCAAGTCCATAAACTGACAAAGCAGAAATAGTGCACTGCCTTTTATTAAACCATCTAACCTGATCACTGGTGGTGGTCTGGCAGGTTGAACTGCACCAGGTAACCCAGGCTGACAGAGCAGGAAAGAACAACGGGTAGTTTAAAGCATTTCTGGAGAGGACAGAGATGTGGGCTTGAAAACAGGCAGGAACCAGGGGGCCTTGGCAGTGGACATGGACGGAGCCACAGACATGCTACCAGGACAGCCTACAAACGGAGCAAGAGCAGAGCAGAGCAGGCTTTTTCAACACCTTCCGACAGTCCAGTGTGGAGTCACTGTTACCCATGATAGTTACATTAAGTGGCAGTATGCCCAAGGGTGTAACAGAATGCTTTTGGGGGCCCAAAACCACAAGTCTGGACACAGACAGGACTCCATCTGGACACCCACATGAGTGGGACGGCTGCCTGCCATGGGCTATAAGAATTCAGAGGTCAGACAATTTGACACTGGAGCTTGGCTGTTATCACAGGTCATGCTCGGAGCCCAAGGGGACTTCCACTCTACCAGACATGTGCAGTCACTGTAGCTGCCTGGCTTGAAACTGACACCCACAGGCAAGACACACCAGCGATAGAAACTTCGCCCTGGTCACTTGCCCTGCTACTTCATTTATTATTTATTTATTTATTTATTTATTTATTTATTTATTTATTTATCATTAATTAATTAATTTTTAATCTTTTCATTGACTTCAGAGAGAGAAAGGGAAAGAGAGATAGAAACATCAACAATGGGAGAGAATCATTGATCAGCTGCCTCCTGCTCACCCCCATGCTGGGTATCCAGCCCAGCATGTGCCTGGACCATGGAATTGAACCGTGACCCTCAGGTCATAGGTCAATGCTCAACCACTGAGCCACCCCAGCTGGGCTTGCCCTGCTACGTCTATCCCATAAGCTCCCCCGCCATGTAGCCTTAAGCAGCCATACACGCAGGATGTTGGGCTGGATGATACTTAAAATGGAGCAGAAACTCTGGACACTGGTTTTAATTTTGGCCCCGCTGCAGACAAGATTGGACTTCTTTTATGACAGGGCGGACAGAGATGGGACCTTGAAGAGGAACCCCCTTAATTTTACATCATCAATAAAGCTTTCCACAAAACCCGTCTTCCCATGGGGACCTCAGGAAATTCTTTTCCCCATGGCACCCAACAACTCCACTTCCACTGATAACACAATGACTTTGTCACACTTTTGGAGGTGTATTACCAGAGTAGATTTAATTAGCATTGCACTTCAGATGAGTGAATTTGGACATCTTTTCATATTTTTAAGAAATATGTGAGAAATGTGTGTATGTGTGGAGAGGAAATTGTTTCCTGGTTAGTAATTTATCTTAGTTTATTTTTTGTTATTCAAGTTTTGAAAAACATAGTCAAATTTATCAACTTTATTTTTTATTGCATCTGAATTTTGAGTCATAGTTAGAAAGTCTTTTCCTACATCAGACAAAAGAGAAAATCATACATATTTTCTTTTAGTACTTATATGGTTTCATCTTTGATATTTATATCCAAGGTCCATTTGGAGTTTTTCTTGATTATATGAAACTTGGTTCTAATTTTATCTTTCTCCAAATGGCAAACCAGTTGTCCTACCAATATTTATTAAATTGCCCATTTTTTCCCAAGTAATTTGAGATACTATGTTTTCACATATTAAATTTCCATATGCATTTATATCTATTTCTGGGACTTTCTATTTTATTCCACTGGTCTATTAGTTTATTCATTCATGAGTGCCATGAGTAGATAAACAAACCAGATTTATAGTGTACTTTAATGAATGATAGGGCTAGCCACCCTCATAAACTTTTCTTTTTCCTGCTTTCCTGGCTATTTTTGCTTTTCCATATGAATTTTAATGTCCACTTGTCTAGCTCCAAAAAAATCTATGTATTTTTATTGGTATTTGTTAAATTTATAAATTACCTTAGAGAAAACTGATATATTTTACCATTATATTCTCTATTTTCAGACTATAAAGTAAGTGTATTCATGAGATCTATTTTATTGACTATGCTGTTTTCATCCATATTTATTTTCCTTATTTTTTGTTCAGTTAGTCTCCTTGTACTAAAAGTGACATATTAAAGTTCCTACTACTAGTGTATTTCTATCAATGTTTCTTTGCATGTGCTATGATTTTATTTTTGCTTTGTAAATGTGTTGCTGAGTTATTTGGTGAACAGAATTCATAACTGTTACATAATCACTGTGAATTGTAATAGTGTATTCAGCCTGGTCCATAGCTAGTGGTCAATACTTATAGGTTAAATAAACCTTCCATCTCTCACCTGACTATTAATATCTGAGGTGGTAGGTGGGTTTACCTCTCATTGGCTTATTCCTTTATAAGACCCAGAGGAATTAAGAACCAGTTATTATGGACTCAGAGAAAGTACCTTGAAAACAGGACTGTGTTTTATTGTTCTTGAAATATCTAGCAAAGTCTTTTGCATAAGGTAGGGTGCACCTGGAAAATGAAAGAACTCTTTCGGGGTTATTGTTATGAGGAAATTAAACAGAGCATACAGAGGATTTGGAGAATGTCAGGTGCACAGAAATATTGGCTCTTGTTTCAATTTTACCTGCTCTAAGAGAATAAAATTATAGGGTTGTTTCACATATTAAACAAACATGCTCTGTGTGAAACAGCTTTGCAAACCCCCAATACTATCCAAATGGACTCCTCTTGCAGTCCAGTATTACTAAACCTTGGCCCTGAGCAGCCCAGTTTGGAGGGAAGGGCCCTCGCCGAGGGGTGCGAAAACCTAACGCATTCTAACTCTTACCACTCATCAAATGACCCCGGACCACCGCAACCTCGTTGTTCTTTTCTTCCTACTGAAAAGCAGCGGCCCCGGCGTCCAGCCCGTGACTCTCTGGCGGCCTTTCCTTTCCCCGCAGGGTGTGCCGAGCCCCCTGAGTCCCGCCCCCTTCTCCCGCGTGGCAGGCCGCGGCCACCGGCCCGGCGGACCAGTAAAG